TATATATATATATCCCCAGACTGAAAGTGTCAGATCTTAGGGGACCTAGAACAGGGTTCTTCTGAGCCTCAACTCCACAAACAACTGAGGGGGGTGTTAAAAACTTGGGATCTTTAGTTTTTTAGCTTCTTAACTCCCATTAAGCTTTGTTTATATGTAGGGATTTGAGAAAAACTTGATTTGCAAAGTTTCATTAAAAAGAAAAAGTATAGTGAGGTGAGGAAATTAAGACCAAGAAGTGATCTGCTGGTGGTCACAGAGCTAATAAAAGACAACATGAAGCCAAAACCCTGGGCATGCCTGCTTCTGGCCTCTATTACGTTATACTGACTCTCACAAGTAATCATGTAGCCATAGCCACTCTGATTTTTAAACAAAACAGAAAAATCATTTTCTAACAGGTATTTTAATAAAATCCACCACTTAAATGTAACCATGAGATAATTTAGAATGCAATCTAAAGAGTCTCAGAGCTCTAATTATGAGTTAAAAAGACAAACATAATGGTCAAGAGAATTTATCTCAATTCTGCTGGTCATGTTCCTTATTACCCTTAACTCTTGAGACTCCACTCTATGTCCGCTATCTGGTCCAATGGAAAGAGAAACAGTTTTGCCTGATCATCCTCATTTCCATGCTTCATGTTTCTAATACTTGCCCTACTGGAACTGAACAGATTGTGCCTTTTATCTGTCTCTAGCTACCTACTCAATGACAATTCAATACTTCCAAGAAACTTTTATGGATAAAAGCATTTCCACTCTTTTACATCCTCTAATGATACAGATGCCTTTTTTTCCTAAACCAAATAACTGGACTTGCCTGATACCCCACCCTGAATAAAACAAAAAGGGCTGCACTTATGGGAATAGTGGGACAAACCCCATACAACTGGGGCCATTTATCTGCATGATTCCTTATATCTTGTACTATGAACTGTTTTATAACTGCTCTTTCCAGCACAGATACCCTCCCCAACAAGATCCTGAGCTTCTTGGAGGCACAAATTAGGCTTATACTAATTTTGACTTCTCTTATAGAACTAAGAAGGATTCAAAGTCAGCTCCACTCTCAGCATTGGGAATACTTTGTCCAGAAGTGCAACACAGCTAATTTTTCCTGTAGGATTAGAACTTTTTTTTTCCAGTTAAGAATAGATAAGATAGCCAGACCTGACCTGGTAGCACACCTTTATAATCTCAGCACTCTGGGAGGGAGAGGCAGAACTACAAGTTCTATTCTAGCCTGGGCAACTTAGCAAGACCTTGTCTCACAATTTAAAAATTGAAAAAGGTGGGTGGGGACTGGAGACTTAAGTCACTGAAAAGGCACTGGGTTCAATCCCCAGTACTAGAAGGATGGAGAGAGACCAGATAAAATAGCTGACTTTAGAAGTCACTCTGCATGAACACTATGAATTTAGAAACACTAGAATTGTATGCATATAATGACAAGATGCTGACGCTATGAAAGACAGGAGGAAAGTGCAGATTTAGCATCTCCTACCTGAGTCACTGAAGGGACTAGCCTTTCTGTAAGTTGTTTTTGCTTTTACTTTCTTTTGGGAGGAGTGAGGAAAATAACATTAAATAACATACTTAAATTAGAGTAAGTTAAATGTGAATATAATATAATTTGACTACTGCAGATCCTAATGTGGTTGGTGCATTAACTGGATAATCCAAAACATGAAGCCTTATCCAGCTGCAGGATAATATCAGGCTTTTAAGTCAAGAAGTGCTCTAGGAATAGCTGAATATTAACTGGTTCCTTAAAACTAAAA